TTCAAATAAAAATAGGCAATTATGTGTAGACTCTTGTCCAGTTAGCCATGGAAAAGTGGGCCTGCTGAGTCATCTCGTAGAGGGCTTGGTATGTCCCAAATACACACCCTAAGAGGCCCAGGATGCTGATCATGATGTCCTTGGCAATGGTCACACAGCTCATTTTCTCGGAGTAAAAAGTGGTGATCTCCAGCAGGGGCGGGATGATGAGGGCCAGGGCGCTGCTGCTCACGGAGCCCACCAGGGAGATGACCAGGTCCAGGCGAGGAATGAGAACAGCTGAGAAACCTTCGGAGAGAGAGGAATGTAGACTCACTGAGTGTGCCTCAAAGAGGGGAGTCCCCAACAAGCATCGCTTTGGAGTTTAAGGATTAGGCCAGGCACCATGGCTCTGGACCCTGCCTGCCCCCCAATGCTTTTTTAAAATTATCATTTCTGTAGAGAAAAAAAAAATTGTGTGTGTGTGTGTGTGTGTGTGTGTGTGTGTGTGTGTCTGTGTCTGTGTGTCTGTGTGTATGCGTGTATACCTGTGTGAGTGTGGAAGCCAGAGGAAAGATTCAAGTGTCCTGCTCCATCATCTCGCACTCTGTGCCTCATTCCCTTGAGACAGGGTCTCTCTCTGAATCTGGAGCTAGTCTGGCAGCCGGCACCCCCCCCCCCCACACACACAGAGTCTCTTCCACCTCCCACTATAATAAACACCAGAAGTCCAGCGCCCTTGCTTCTCTAGGTCAAACATCCCCAGTTCCCTCGCTCTTTCCTCCTGGGCACCTCTTCTGAACCCCTCTCTCTCTCTTCCTAGAATGTTCCAGAGAAAGGATTGCCCAGCCCTTCTTCCAGTGTTTCCTAAACAGTGCTCACTGTGAACGAAAGGGTGAATAAATGACGAGAAAAGAGGGGGGAGAAAGTACTGAAATACCCCCCAAGTCTTTAGCTAACAAATCAGCCCTTTGGGGGCTTCTTTACAGTTAAAATATGTAAATTTCTTTCCAATTAAATAATTGAGGGCACAGGGACTTGGCCCTACATGAAATGGGAAGGAGAGAGGCCCTAGGGAACCAAGTCCCCCATTCTGTCATGGAGCTGTGTGACGTGGGGATGAGACTGAATTTCTCTGGGCCATGGCTCCCTCAGTTGGCAGGAATGCTGGGTTGGTGTGAGTGTTAGACACACCGGTACAGCGGCCAGCAGGGAGGCAAGTGGCTGTGTAAGAAAGATCTTGCCCTCCCCCGTAAATCGGTCAGTGCCCACTCCCTAGGCAGTAAGACTGGGGGTGGCTCTCCTGAGGTGGGTTCTCTAAGCCCGTTTTCAGGTGGAAAGGTGAGAACAATGAGACAAACATCCTGTTGATCACAGAAGTAAGTGGCAGAGCCAAGGCTGCTGGGGTGGGCACTACACCGGGGTAGGACGCACGCCAAGGGTTTGTGTAGATAAGCACCGTCTCCCCAACTCACAGGTCAGGCAGACCAAGGCGGTGCGGACGGTCAGGTCTACAAACAGAGCCCAGTTCTCAGACACTCTTGAGATGACATAGGGGATGATGATCTCAGCTGGGACGTGGAACTGGAGGGCATACGTGAAGAAGATGCCAACAGAGTACATCAGCTTGACTGACTGGTACAGCCTGCAGACAGAAGACAGAAAGGATGTGAGACGCCACCAGGCTTCCGGGAAGGTGGTTCAGGACTCATCGGAAACTTCACAGGTCCAGAGTCAGCGACCTGGGTCAGACTGGCTCAGAGGGGACGTGGAAGCATGCATTCCTGGAGGTTCCAAGGCCATAGGAACCTCCAGGTATTTCATTTAAATATTTCACTTACAAAACTATAAATGTCGTATCTGTGTACAGTAAAATTCACAGTGCAGAAGCCACACAGCCACGACCATTTCCCCGCCCCTGATTCTCACGGCAGTTCCCTCAGCGTTTGCCATGACTCCCATGTGGAGGTCCAAGGACGACCTTAAGTGTCCATCCTCGCTTTTTCTACCACATCTGGAACAGCATCTCTCCTGTTTGTTCCTGCTGCACATGCCAGGTTGGCTGCTCTCCTGTCTCTGCTTCTTGTCTCACTCAGGAACACTGGCATCACAGATGGCATCACCACCGTGCCCAGCTTTTATGTGGGTCCTGAGGGTTCTAAGTTGGATCTTCATGTTTGGGTGGCAAACACTACCCACTGAGCCACATTCTCAGCCCTGTGCCTACAATCTTAAACAGAAAGTAGGGGAGCCACACATACACCCACAGATGCACGGTGGCATGTCTCTAGGAATTGTTGACCTTTGTTATTTCGTCAAATATAAAGCTGGATGTGGTGGCACTTGCCTGTAATCCCAGGACTTGGAAGGCAGAGGTAGGAGGATTGCCATAGGTTTGAGGCCAGCTTAGTATACGTAGTGAGTTCTAAGTCAACAAGGCCTAGACAGTGAGATCCTATCTCAAAACAATAATAAACAAAGTATTTCTTGTAAGTTGTTCCCTGTGAATACATGTCCGGGACTTCTTTTTTTTTTTTTCAAGACAGGGTTTCTCTGTGTTGTGTTGTTTTGGTGCCTGTCCTGGAACTCACTCTGTAGACCAGGCTGGCCTCGAACTCACAGAGATCCACCTGGCTCTGCCTCCTGAGTGCTGGGATTAAGGGCATGCACCACCACCGTCCAGCATATGTCTGGCACTTCTATTTAACAGCACAGAGATTTTTTTTTTTTTAGTTTTTTAACTAGTCAAAAGTTATTTTTGTCTTTTGCCAAGAAAACAATGCAGCGAAGACTATCTCTACATATATCTGCATATCTCAGCACTTACCATGCACTCACATAGCTCATGCCTGCATATCTCAGCATATATGACACACCCCCTATATCCCACATCTGCTTATCTCAGCCTATATAGCACACATCTCCATATTCCTTGTCTACACATCAACTCCAGAAGTAAAAATGACTTTTCAATTATTTTTTTCTTGACATTGGCTTTCACCCTATGTCCCAGGCTGGTTTCCAGGTTGGTATGCATCCAAGAATGACCTCAAACTCTGGATTCCATTTTGAAAGTGTCGGGATTTGTGGCATGAGCCACCGCTCTGGTTTATGCAATGCTTGGGATTGAACCCAGAGCCTCATGTATGCTACGTAAGCACTCGACCCCTGAGCTATGCATCAGACCCCAGCCATGGTTTAAAATGTACGACTATTGACATACTGCCCTTTTGTCTTAGTCTATGGCTCTAAGTGCCAACATGTCAGTCTCTGACATTGCAGTATGTGTGTGTTCCTATATGCACATGCACACGAGTATGCAGGCATGTAGCGGTGTCCTTCTTCAGGAGCCACCACCTTATTTTTGATGAGGGGTCTCTCTGTGGGCCCCGGAACTCTCGTTGATTTGGCTGGGCTGGCTGGCCAGCACACTCCAGGGATCTGCCTGTCTCCATCTCCCCAGTGCTAGGATAGCAAGCATACACCCCCAAACCCAGATTTTTTTGCTGGGGAGGGGGTTGAGAAAGGGTTTCTCTGTTTAGTCTTGGCTGTCCTGAAACTCACTTTGTAGACCAGGCTGGCCTCGAACTCACAGAGATCCACCTGCCTCTGCCTCTGCCTCTGCCTCCTGAGTGTGGGATTAAAGGTGTGCACCAACACTGCCTGACAACACTGTAATTTTTAAAACTGGCATTTCTTTTGTATGTCTGGAGGATATTTTTGTGTATAAAATTCTTATTTTCTGTACTTACCCTCCCTTCTTTTCTGGAATTGTTGGTGTTTTTATTGGGAAGGGTTGTTTATTCAGGACTTCCCTCAAGAGTGAGTTCCTGTTCCTCCACTCACTAGCTGGCTCACACCAGCTTACACCAGTGTGACTGGAGCTCACTGCCCATGTATTTAGCTGCCACCCTCAGAATGAAAAGGCTCTGCCCAGGATAGCTAGAGGAAGTGCAATCAGCCAAGAATAAGACCCACATATTAAGATAATATCTCGCTTGCATAAAATAAGGCACAACTTCAAAGCGTCCACATTCATGATCTCATCTGGTCATTAGCAGGGCACAGGGAGGAGGGTGGAGCTCGGGACATTTTCCTTATTTTACTGCTCTGGCTTTGGGGAAGTGAATGCCATTATTACCCCACCCAACTGGAAGGCCAAGGCTGTAAGGACCCATAACAACAGTAATAGCTGATAATCTGCAGAGCTTGCTGCATGTCAAACACTTTCCTAACATTTTCTGTATATTAAAGCAATCGCTGCCAGCAAGTGCAGCAGAGTGCCGTTCATCAAAGGTTTCTAGGTCCTTCCCTGCCGGGGTGAGGAGTCTGACAGGAGGGCTGCCTCTGCTAGCTTAAGTTGAAGTTCACGCTGCTGCACTAGCTGCTTGGGAAGGCCAGACTCTTTGTCATGACAACCAGAACCCTCTGGAGTGTTGCTGGTCCATTAGAATGAGAACCTGGGCCAGCCCATAATGGATTGGTGTGAACAAAGAGTTAAGCACTTGTGTGACAGCCACGGTGATGGTTCACGACTGAAGCATCACAAAACTGTCCTGACAGATACCGAGAGGCACGTGTGTAAGCCTTACTGTGCAGAAGGGTGGGAGGCTTGCCCACGGGCATGGAGGAAGCAGAATGCGGATCCTATTAGGTAGCTTTAGAACATGTATTTAGTCACTGGGAGCCCAAGACCTCCTGTAAAGATCCCTCTTACAGATGTTTCCTGGATGGATGGATGAGAGAATGAATGACTGAGGGTAAGAACTCCAGGCCGAGTTCCAACTGGGGATACTCAATAGCTTAAGTAAGCAGTCCATCTGTGGTACATACCTGAAATTATTTATTATTTGTTTTTACCCAGGTAATGGTAGTGCATGTCCGTAATCCCAGCACTTGGGGAGCAGAGGCAGGTTGGATCAGGAGTTCAAGGCTAGCTTTGGCTACAAAGGAAGTTTGAGGTTATCCTATCTCAAAAATTAAAAAAAAATATTATTCTTGTTCTTATCCAACCTAGGTCCTCAGACAATCTGCACAAATGCTCTACCATGGCGTTTTCACGTTCTGTTTCCTCAACAACCCCGCATTGCTCATCTTAGGGCCTTTGCATTTTGGGGTCAAACTTGGAAGTCAAGTCTGCACTCCCACTAGACAGTGTTAGCTGGGAAGGTCACTGAGAGCCTCTGATGTTGACTGTTCTCATCTGTTCTATGGAGTCCTCATTGACAATGCTTAAGGCTGCTGTGGGAAACTGAGAGGAAGCACAGTGCCTGGTCATCAAACTCACCCGTAATCATTATTAACATGAATGTCAACAGTTCACAACAGTTCATTGCTTCCTAAAGGTAACCGGTTCACGCGTGCGCATTCCGCCACCGAGGCTCACCGCCCACGCCTCCCTGTCCCACTTGAGGCAGGCAGGTTCCTACCAGCAGTTGGGCAAGTTGAGGGTGATGCTAGCCTGAGTGTCTGAGCCGAACTTCATGTAGCCCAGGGTCCCCAGGCAGATATAGAGGAAGATGACAAAGGACATCCCCAGATACAGCACGGCAGGAAACTGCTGTGGGCTCTTCATCTGGCTTTTGAGAGGAAGAACCTGGAAGCAGACGGTTTGGGAAAGACCAGGTCGGAAGGAGTGGCCATGGTGGCTGTAGGTTCCCTTATAGGCACAGGTGTTCTTCTCCTGGTGGATTGAGTCAGCAGGGACCCCTCCACAAGGCCACACCCCTCCTCAAGGTCACACCCTCCATACAGCCACACTTGCTATATTGCCACATCACTCCAAATGGCCACGCCCCTCCACATGGCCACATCAGCTTTATGGCCACACCCCTCCACGTGGCCACACCTCCTCTAGATGCTCACTCCTCCTCCATCTTGTCTCACGCTTGCTATTGACCCAACACCCTGCTCAGTGTGGGCTGATTAGTCAATTTTCCATCTTTGTCATTGTCTTGGGAACTTGAGGTGTGGTCTGGGTTGGGAGGTGCCCTCATGAGTGCAGACTTTCCCATCCCCAGGAGGGAATCATGCTGCACTGCTCTCAGCACTGCTAGGGTGATATAGGGACTCACAGCTGACCACTCTGTGGGGTACCTCATCGTTCTTACCATCCCCACGCCTTCAAAGGTGAAGATGGCCGTGCCAAAGAACAACAAGAAAGTCTTCCAGCTTGCGACCAGGGGCAGGCTGCTGTGACGTGGGGTCTCCTGAAAGAGAGGAAGGGTGTTGGCTTTGCCGTGGGGAGGTCATCCTGGGTCATGTCCGATGACAGATAGTGTAAGGGGCACTGTTACATTCTGTCTTATCTTTTTTTTTTTTTTTTTTTAAAAAGTGTTCTAATTAATTAGCTAATTTATTTTGGGACAGAGTCTCCTGCAGCCCAGGCTGACCTTGAGCTCAGTATGTCCCTGAGAACGATTTTGAATTCCTGACCCTCCTGTCTCTGTCTCCATCTCCAGTGCTGGGACTACAGGTGTGCACTACCAGGTGTAGTTTTAGGCAGTGTTGAAGATGGAACCGAGGTCCTCCTGCATTCTAGGTGAGCACTCTACCCACGTAGCCCCATCCCAGTCTAGTTTATTTACATTGACCGCGGCAAAGCAGCATCAAACTTTCCACTTAGTCATTTTGCCCACTGAATGTGTGCACCCCGTGACATTCCCGTCACTGCTGTTCATCAGCAGAGCTTTCTTACCAACCCAATCTGAAACTCTAATTCTTTGTTCTCTACCTCTTAGCAATGCCTGTGTCTGTTCTGCCTGTATAAATGTGGCTGCCTAAGTGCCTCCTGTGATCAGGAGCTTGTAGCATTTGTATTTTTTGTGCTTGGCTTATTTCACTTAGCTTAGTGCCTTTTAAGGTTCATGCATGTTGTAGCATTCATTAGAATTTCATTCCTGGACCTGGAGAGATGGGCCCAGCGGTTAAGAGTGCTTGCTGCTCTTTCAAAGGACTGGAGTTCATTTCCCAGCACCCACATCAGGCAACTCACAACCACCAGTAACTCTAGCTTCAGGCATTCTGACACCTTCTTCTGGCCTCATGGACACACACACACACACACACACACACACACACACACACACACACACAGAGAGAGAGAGAGAGAGAGAGAGAGAGAGAGAGAGAGAGAGAAGAGAGAAATATTTTTAAAAGCCCTCTCATTTTTCTTTAGTGCTCAGTAATATTCTACTCCCCCCCCTGCCCCCCATACAGTTTGTCTTCTCATCTTAAATATGGAACAGTCAGGACAGTGGAAGAAGGCAATTGCCCAAGGCTATTTTGCAAGCTACTCACACAGCCCAGGTAAGGATGCCTGTCCCCTGCTCCTGACCTTTAACATCTCTGTACCACCGCAATCTGCCAGTTGATACAGTAGCCATCGTAGATAAAGAGAGTGATAATTTATTTGTGTCAGTGTATCAGGTAGCCCAAGATGCCCTCAAACTTGTTCTGCAGCCAAAGGAGGAGTGATTATAACAGATTTCTGTGGTGGGTAGGATAAATAAAGGTTTCTCAAAGATATCCTCATCCTAATTCCAGGAACCTGTGAGCAGATTATTTTATTTATTTATTTATTTATTTATTTATTTATTTATTTATTTATTTATTTATTTATTTATTTATTTATTGCCATGGTCTCTCCATGTAGCCCTGGCTGTCCACTCTCAATGTAGACCAGACTAGGCTCAAACTCACAGAGTTCTGATTGCCTCTACTTCCCAACTACTGAGGTTCAAGGCATGCGACAGCAAAACGGGGTGGATTATGTTATTTTTTTATTTTTTTATTTTTTGAGTTAGGTTCTTGTTATGGAGACCAAGCTATCTTCTTGTCCTGGCCTCCCAAGTGCTAGGATTAATGGGTGCATACCACCATGCTTGGCTAGAGTGTTGAGTTTTCAAAAGGAATTTAGGATGTTAAAGCAGATGACCTTACACAGGGAGACAAACTTGGATTATTTGAGTCAGATAAGAGTCCTTAAAAGAAGAGAGAAGTGGAAGAGGGAACAAGGATGCAGCAAGGAAAGACTCAGCCTAGTGTTGCTGGTTTTGACCATGGAAGGGGCCATGGGCCAAGGCATGCTGGGAAAGGCAAGAAAGCAGACTCTTGAAACCTCTGGAAAAGCTATAGCCTTGCTGATCTCTGATTAGTCAGTGAGACCTCCAGCACCATAGAGGAAATCTGTGCCATTTTAGGGCTGGGATGTAGATTAGTTGGTAGTATGCTTGCCCAGCATACAATAAGACCTGAGTTTGATCCCCAACTCTCTAGAAATCCAAATGCACTGGCACATGCCTGTAAACCCAGCTCTTGGGAGGTAGAAGCAGGAAGACCAGAAGTTCATGGTCACCCTCCAATACTTAAAGAGCTCAAAGTTACCCGGTTTCAAGACAAATACCCTGAAACCAAAGAAAATAAGCCCAAACAAAAACAACCAAAAACTGTCCTGGGTTATAGTTTAGTTTGTAGAGTGCCTGCCTAACAGACAGGAAGTGCTGCATAAGTTGGGTGTCAAGGTGCATGTCTGTAAGTCTGGCACTCAGAAGTGGAGTCAAGGTCATGCTTAGCTACAAAGCCAACCTGGGCTACATAAGACCCTGGGTTTTTGTTGTTGTTTGTTTTTTTAAACTTTGCAGATTTGTGGTTATTTGTTATAGCAGCAACAGGACACTAATATAATTCCATAGACTTTCATGATCAAAGAAATGAAGCAACAATGGTGGAATGCTAGCGGGAACGATGGGAGGTAAACCAGTTGGCCCTTCAGAAAGATCTGCCCACCTGCTGCCCCTGCTCCTTAGAGCCTTTTTCTGGAACTGGGATAGAGATAGTATTTTGCAGTTGTTTTATTTCGAAGATAGAAGAAGTTGTGTAAAGTCCTTCGTACCAAGTAGATCAAATTCCTTATCTATCTATCTATCTATCTATCTATCTATCTATCTATCTATCTATCTATCTATGACTTTAAAATGTTTCTAATACATTTATATCACTGGGGGGAGGGGCACTTCCTCTATTGTTTTACTTTTTTTTTTTTTTTTGGTTTTTCATTTTTTGAAATAGGGTTTCTCTGTATAGCTTTGGAGCCTGTCCTGGAACTCACTCTGTAGTCTAGGCTGGCCTCAGACTCACAGAGATCCACCTGCCTCTGCCTCCTGGGTGCTGGGACTAAAGGCGTGTGCCAACACCGCCTGGCGATTCTTAATTTTAAGAGTCCCCGACTGAACTTAGAGTTCACCATTTTAGCTAGACTGTCTGGCCAGTGAACCCCCCCACCTGCCTTCACTCTCTCAATTCTGGGGTTACATGTGTGCCCCACTGTGCTAGGCTGTCATGTGGATACTGGGCATGGGAACTCAGTTCCTCTGCTAGGGCAGCAAGCACCTCACCCACTGGGCCCTCTCCCAATCTCCATACTGTGGTATTTCTTGGTATTTCATTGAAATGATGGGAAGTGTGACATCCTTCTTTATCTCTTGTTACTGAGCCCCAAATTCCCATCTTCTCAAACAACACCTGATCACAGATGACATTCAGCAGCTAAATTACCTAGCAATTCAATTTTTGGATATGACTATGATACTGAAGACGAGGGTGTTGATGATAATGATGCCTAACTTTTACAGCTTGGGGGACACAAGTATTTCTAGAAATCATCTAGGTTCAGAGCAGGGGACCCACCACTTTCTCAAAGCATCGGTAACCCTGCCATGTCTCAGAAGCCTTGGACCCTGACCTCCTCCTGTGTGGCGTCAAACACACACCTGGATGAGATACTCGAAGATCAGAGCCAGGCTGCCCAGGGTGGTGATGGTGGCCAAGGTGGAGAAGATGGACAACACCTGTGGGTTCTGGACCAGCACCAGCAGGATGAGGAAGGGCAGGATGGTGAGCATGTAGAAGCGAGCATCCAGGACGGGGGTCAGCACCAAGCTCTTCCTGGGCTGGCAGACATTGGAGGTGAAGTGAGCTTCTTCCACAATCTGCCAAAGGGGCACAGTGAAAGTCGGGGCATCAATCAGGAATCACTAAGAACCGTTTCAATTAAGATTTCAGTTGAATGGCTGATGACCTACTGCCCCAGCAGAAAGATATTATTCATGAGTTGTGTAAAACTTCAACATAACAAGATGTCTTTGAAAACATTTTTTTTTTTAAATTTTTTGGTTTTTCGAGACAGGGTTTCTCTGTGTAGTTTTGCGCCTTTGCTGGATCTCACTTTGTAGACCAGGCTGGCCTCGAACTCACAGAGATCCGCCTGCCTCTGCCTCCCAAGTGCTGGGATTAAAGGCGTGTGCCACTACCGCCCGGCTCTGAAAACATTTTCTAAGGGGCTAGAGAGGTGGCTCAGTGCTTAAGAACACTGGTTGCTCTTACAGAGGACCTGAGTTCAATTCCCAGCACCCACAGGGTGGTTCACAGTTCCAGGAAAGCCAACACCTTCTTCTGACTTCCATGGGCTTGTAGTACGCATACATACAATCAGGCAAAACATTCATACACATAAAAATCAAGTAAATAAACCTTTAAAACATTTTTAGATTTATTTAATTTTATTGTATGTGTGTTTTGCCTGCATATATGTAAGTGGATCATGTACATGCCGGGTGTTGGAAGAGGTCAAAAGACGAAGTCAGGTTTCCCGAAACCAGAGTTACAGACAGCTGTGAATCACCATGTGGTGCTGGGAACCAAACCCGGCTCTGGGTCCTCTGAAAGAGCAACAAACGCTCTTAACTGCTGAGCCATCTCTCCAGCTCCATAGGTGAGTGTCTTCTGTGAGTCTGCGCACTTACACATATGTGTTCCTGGGGGTGGGGCTTGCAGAGGACGACTCAGTATTGTTTCTCAGGTTTGTCCACCTTGGGTTTTTGACACAGGGTCTCTCATTAGCTGTGAACTGGGCACGTTAGGCTAGATTGGTCATCCAGTGAGCGGCAGTCACCTGTCTCTGGCTCTTCAGCACAGGAATTACAGCTGCATGCCACCAAACCCGGCTTTTTTATATGTGGGTCCTGGGAGATGGAAACCATGCCCTTGTGCTTGCAAAGACAAGAATTTTACTGACTGAGCTATGCTCTCACGTCCCCTCCCCCCACTTTTTGAGATAGGGTCTCATGTATCTGAGGCTGGCCTCAGACTTGCTATGTAGCCGTGATTGACCTTGAACTTTTGATCATTCTGCTTCTACCTTCCAAGCGTGGCATTATGGATGTGAGCTGCCATGCCTGGTTTTCTGTGTCCTGTGTTTTTATTTGGCAAGCCTAGAAACCTTTAACTGTAGTGGGTGTGATTCTGACAACCGGAAACCCTGGGCATCATAAAACCCAAAGACCCAACGGTCTTTTTGTCTGATAGACAGTCTCTTGGTCCCCTCCCCCCTCACATGACTAGAGAAAAGGTTTCAGTTGCACAAGCACACCCTCTGGGCAGGACTGGGAACCCAGCGGTCGCTCCTCCACCAACCCCTCCGTTACACAGCTCACTGTTCTTCCTGGATGCCTGGGTGTGCTCTTCCGTCCCACAAAGCCATAAAAGAGTGCTCTCACCGACTTGTCTCATGTTAGAGACATGATGAGGGGAAGGTGACAGCCTGTTAGACATCTTGGATGTGACAACCTGAGATGCCTAAGGGTCGACTCCATCTATGCTTTCCAGACTGAAGATGTGGGACTTTGGCTCTGCTCTGGTCCCAACTGTGGTCTAAGATGGGGCAGACTGGCTCCGATGTTATGGTCCCACTAACAGCCCTGGCCTCGGGAGGTCTGCTCTCTTGCTCTCCTCGTTTCTCCTCTCTCTCCTTCTCTCCTCCCACTCTGCCCAGAAGAGCCCTCTTTACCTGTTGTAAATTGTCTGCCATAAACATGAAATACACGCTGCAGAAGCCCAGCTGAGTGATGATCAGCAGGAAGCTCACAATGTACCTAGAAGGAAGAGGATGAGGAAAAGAAGTTGTTGTTTAGAATGGGTTTCATTTTCAAAACAATTATTTCTGATGATTGTATTTTGAGAAATTTCAGGCCTTCAGAAAAAGCTGATAGTATGGTAGAATTAACAGCCATAAACTCTGGCTTTAGGTTTTGTTTTGTTGTTTTGTTTTGAGATAGGGCCTCATGTAGCCCAGGCTGGCCTCTCATTAGCCAGGTGGTTAAGTGTGACCTTCAACTCCTGATTTTCTAGCTTCTACCCCAGGAGTGCTGATATCACCACAACCAGCCACATCCACACATTCTCATGAATGTCTGAGCAACCACCTTTGCCCTAGTTACATTCTGGGTATATATATTCAACACACACACACACACACACACACACACACACACACACACACACACAC